TATGGTATCTCTGGTATATGAAAATTGCAAATTTTTTTTGACATCGTCCTACAACTACAATACTGGAGATAGATTTTATTAAATAAAAGAGTCTCTGTTTTCCAAAAACAGATCTTGATATAAAATCATGTATGCCAAATTCAGTCAATTTTAAACAATTATTTTCTTAAAAACATGCCCACTTTTTCTTTACATTTTCACCTCGTACGGTAAAAAAATGATGCTAATCTTATTTCCAGTGAACACTCTGTATTGCCGAAAATTGCAAAAGGTACGATTTAAAAACTACAAAATTGAAGATAGAGATTTTTGCTTTAAAGAAAATTTGTTCTAAAAAAATCCGGTTTTTTTTCTGGTTGAAAAAACTATTGCAGTTTCTTGTAGTAGTATAATATTGCGGTGTCGTTACAAATAACGCGAGAAAGAATGTGCTGTTGTAGCGTAGTTTTTAAACGTTCGTCCTTCGTCCACGTTAACAATACTAGGGCAATATTTGTTTTCCGAAGTGATTATTCTCTGTTCGATCCGACCGACTCGAAGTTCTGCTACTTTGAAAACAATTCTATAAATTTTGGGGGTGGTTTAAATGAAGTTCCTGGGACATTTTCAAAATTTTATCAAAAATGTTTCCAAATTTTTTCTTTAAATTGAATGTAAGAATAGTGTGGAATACATTTTAAAAATTAAACGTGTTCTTCACAATAAGTTCTTTAATTAATGTCCTTTGTTATATACAGGAAATCTCAGCATACATGTTACAAATTTCTGTTAAAACCTTACAAATTTTATTAAAATACAAACAACTACAATGTACTGTGTAACAAAATATATAAAATTACTTTTTAGGGGATTATAAATTCTATGTATTAATATGAATAGAAAGTAATTAAACTTTAATACGTAAATTGAACTAAAACAACTGAACAACGACTAACAAAACCCTCCTCAAGCCCTAACTTCACAAATCCATGCTCTACCATCAAAATCACCCTACACACTCAACTCCATTCCAGACCAGGCCCTTAATAAGCTTGGAAACTTCGCCGTCATTTGCTGTACTTTTATTGGACGAGAGGCTTTTCTACCCGGGCCAAGATAAATGTTGATCATGCTTCCCGTTCTCGTCAAGCTTCGCGTTCCCATCGTGTTGTGAATGCCTGCTTGTCTGTCTTTCAACTTTCTTTACGTTCCCTTCGTGTTGTAGTGTCCGTTCGAGGGCTATTGTGGAGCGGCCTTAAGACTGAATAATGCCTGAACGACAATTCACTGTCAGAGTAATCATGACAATCTCCTTGACACTATTTTTGAAATTGTTTTGATTTAGGTTTACCCCAGAGTTGTTTTTGTATCACAAGCTTTTTTTAAATTCACATTTATTCAACTTTGGATTAAATATTGGAACTTTTCGAAAGAAAATTTCGCTAGAATGATATTCGGGCTGTATTGTTCGATGAGTCATTGAATGCTTGACATTAAACGAACAGAAATTTTATTTTTAATTTAATAAAATAAATTTCCGTTCCTTTCGAATCACATTTTTGCGTAAAAGATCTGTGCAATTACTCCTTTAAGAACTTTGATGAAATTTACGACCTCTAAAGTAGAGATGTTTGTGGAAATAGCACGAATGTTTGCATTTCTATAAACTCGTACGTCGCGTGTGTTTGCGTGTATTTTTCTGAGACACATGTGTCCTTCACACTCAGAAGAGAAACTTATGCAATCTAGAAAAGCCTCTTTAACCAAACGTCACGTTTGGTTTTAAGAGAACATTAATTTATTTTCTTGCCAGTCTTATCAGAGAAAGACAAGCAAGTAAACAAAAATATTAAAGTAGATTTTCAGAGTGACTCAGAGTCTCCAAATAATCTTAAAAGACATTATTATTATTATTATTATTATTATTATTATTATTATTATTATTATTATTATTATTATTAATAATAATAATAAGTCAGCAATTATCCAAAGTTAAACAATACTTCCATCAGTCTGTTGAAGGCGACCATCCAGTCCACCTGCTCCTGCAATTCCCAGTAGAAGCAACGGCCATCACGAAGCGTCACCGCAAAGTGTTTTACTGAGATGTCAGCTGGCAACCACAGGCAGGCTTCCTACGGCAGCGAATCAAATGGTCTTCAAACTAGAAGTAGGATGTATGTCATTCGGTGTTGCATGGAAGTTACGAAGTTAGAAATCAATATCGCAGACTATAGAAAAGAAATGTACACACTTCTATAAAATGTCTGCAAAAATATGGAAGATCATTAACATCATGAATACAGAAACCATGCCATTTTTTCACCAGAAGCAACATGTGCCAATAGGAGAACTCCACCGTATTGTGTACTGTGCTGCCTTGACTGTTATTAATCTGATGCTACAAATACATAAAACAGCAGAGTATTCAAATCAACAGTGAAACAGAAAGAAAGAAGAAAAGTGCACTCCTATTGCTAAATTAAGTTAGGAAAACCTATCAGCAGTCTTCGAGAGAAGATTTCTGAGAGAAAATTCTTAACAATCACTTGTTTACCTACAGCTCATAAATATCAGACAACTATCACTACAAACAAAACATATTTTGACATATTTTCAGAGTAATAACATAACGACTGCGAACAAAATTGTTATCGGTCATCAAAGGGTTGCAAATTACAATCGGCACTGTTGTGAAATCCTATACTATAAAGAAGGAAAATATCAATATAACATACATAGCCTACAAAAATACGGTTTATTATGTGCCCCATTCTTATCTTTTTGGCACACTGGAGACATACAAAACAGATTCAGAAATAGTGTTCTGTCTTTCTCACGTGTTCCGCACCTGGACCGCCATCCTGCACCAGGCACACCCAAATGTCGCAGCGTCCCATAAGAATTAACAGAGGTATTTTCCAAGGCAACTCTTCAAGCGCCCTTTGATTTTGTGGGGCACTAAATACTCTCATTAAAACCCTTCAGAACACAAAATGGAATACAATATAAACAAAGCTACGAAATAAAGCTACACAATTATCCATGCCTTTGTATGGATGATTTGAAATTGTTTACCAAATCAAATGACGAACTCCACAAACATCGTGACCATGGAATTTGGTCCCAACAAACGTAAATCTGTGTATACAAATATGAACCGAACTTGTATCAACCGAGGCAAAATTGTCGTGTCTGAGGGATATACTCAGAGGCACACAGATAACACCACAGGCTGGGGCAGTTGATCCATGGAGATCCCTCATTTCAAACCAATAAATCCCTCCTCCAGTTCATCTATCATATTTCTTGAGTGAACAGAAATTCGGGGCCTCAATTAAGTCGGGGCGTGGGGAAACGTGCCCCAGCTACCCGCTTCTTCTGGTCGTCCCTGGCTATACTCTCTCCCCCGAAGATGTTATTGAATATCTCGATGACCTAGATAGTTACAAATATTTAGGGAACACGCAGCTACGAGGAATTGATTATACTAGTATCAAAAGAGAACTGAAACGAAATTTTATACGACTTATAATCACAGAATCAAAAGCATACTTAACACACCATTATACATCAGAAACAAAGTAAAAGTGATTAACACACACACTGCTTACTTTTTTGGATTAACAACGAAGTCAGCGACAGATTTGGAAGGTCTCTCAAGGCTAGTCAGAACACAATTGACAGCATGCCGAGTGAGATACCGAAAATCTTCAACAGAACAAGTGACCCTTTCTGCTCTCATGGGTGGCATGGGAATCACCGACAAATTGTGTAGCATTTGTGAATACGTAAGAGACACAACCCCATTACACGTCAAATGCGTCATTACACGTCAAACCTACACCACCCGAAGCATGTCAATAGATAATCAAAAGATGAAACGGGAACGTACAGAACTGCATGCTATTTCCAAATCAACTGTACACTACGATAAAATAGATCAGGAAGCAAAAAGTCGTTGGCATAAGAATGGGAACCTTTTTGATGAAACAACTGGATTTATGAAGGCGATCCAAGATAGTGTTATATTAAAGATTGCAATTTGTTGTGCTTTGAATGATGATTGAATGATGAGTATTCATCACCTTTATCTTAGAAGTAAAACTTTCAAGACTTCTTTGTGAAACAAAATATATTTATGTGCTCAAGAATGAAGAGAGTTTAATGCATTACGAAGAACTGAGGACTAATAATTGCAGCAGTTATTATAATGATTATATTTTCAAATATATACCAAAATGCCAATATTTGTGATTCTTTTGCAAAAAAATGTGATGTGAATATATCTTGATCCATTATCTTGAAGTTTATTTTATTTTTATCAAAAATTGTTTCACAAAGTCGATAGTCTTGGTTTTTTTTCTTCAGTTCTCATGATATTTTAGTGAATTACTCTCGGTTGTTTTTGAAGAGTAAAATAATCCTCGTCATATCATTAGGAATCCGTGGTACTAATTTTATAACGAGACTTAACTCACCATTGAAGAGTGTATAAGGGAAACATATTATTCAAAATATTGTCTTTTTTAAAATATATATATATAGTGCTGAGACAACTGTTGGAGCGATATAATACTCTTTCAGGAGTTTTTGAAATATTGTTATTTATGCTCCTGCGCAATATGCTTAACTTATTACAACACTTGAACACGTTTCAGTAGCGCTGTATTTCTCACGTACCTGACAACTAAGTAGCTCTTTGTTGCTGATAAGAATTTTATCATAAAGCTTTGCATTCAGTTCTTTTCCATCTCTCAGCATTGCATTGGGAGCCAGTTGCGATTTGGATGCGTTTCAGTCGGGATCTCGCAGTGATCATCGATGCTTCAGTGAACAGAATTTTAAACCCCGAGTTAACATTTAATATTCATTTTTAACATTTCCACCATTCAGAAAATTAAAACTTTGGTGTTTGTGACATTTTCTAACAATTTCGGGAAAAGTGCGCAATGAATACTACAGAAGACGTCGACATGTTTTCGCAACAAAAGTTATATTTCGCATGGCCGGATTACGCTATGTTCTGTTCTATGTTGTTAATATCTACAGTGATTGGAATTTATTTTGGGTGTTTTGGATCTCGCCAGAAATCAGGAGCCGAGTATCTGCTTGGTGGCAGGAATATGAGTGTTTTGCCTGTAGCAGTATCTCTAATAGCAAGGTAAGTCGTTTTCCTTTCAAATGAATGGACGTTTTCGTTTTTAGTTTTCTCTTATTTTTTAGTCATTTAGTTTTGTGGAACAAATGCTTCTTTATGTTTATTTTCATTTTAGTAGAGAGATAGTATTAAACTTATCACGTTCATTAGAAAGATTAAAATGAAGATTGCGTGCTTAATAATAACATAAATAATTATTATAGAAGGCCCTAAATTATGTTCCTTGTAGAAAATAATTTTGGAAAAGGAATGACGCTACTTCCGTTTCTATTTCATTCTGTATCATACCGCGTCTTATTGAGTATAACACCACAGAAGACAAAGGTCAGGGGTTAGCAATATGCAAATATACAGATGGCAGTAGTATCGCGTACAAAAGATATAAAAGGACAATTAGAAGATCTTTATTTTGCACCCAAGTGATTGGAGTAAAAAGTTTTCTGTCGTGTTTATGGCCGCACGACACGAATTAAAAGACTGAACGCGGTATGGAAGATGGTGCGAGACACATGGGACATTCATTTTTTGAAACCGAAAAGGAATTCCATTTTCCGAGATCCAAAGTGTCAAGCGCGCGCCGAAAATAACTAATTTCAGGCAATACCTCTCACCACTGGTAGTGGCCGACGGCCTTCACATAAGGGTGAAGGGGACCGAGTGAAGCGGAGTGTGCGTAGAGTTGTCAGTGCTAAACGACAGTCAACACTGCATGAAATAACTTCAGAAATCAGTTTGAGACGTACGACGAACGTATCCATTACGACAGTCTGGCGAAATTTGGTGTTAATGGGCTATGGCGGCAGAAGACTGTCCCGAGCGTCTTTGCTAAACAGTACATAACTTGCCACGACTCTCCTGACTTCGTGATACATTGTGACCCTTCGATTGGACCCTAGATATAAGGAAAACCTTGGGCAGATGGGAAGATGGGTTGGGCAGATGAGTCCCGATTTCAGTTGGTAGGAGCAGACCTCACGAAGCCATGGACTCAAGTTGGCAACGAGACACTGTGCAAGCTGGTGGTGGGGCCACAACGGTGTGGGCTGTTTTACATGGAATGGACTTGGTCCTCTGGTCCCAATCAACCGATTATTGACTGGAAATAGTTATGTTCAGCTCGTTGAAGACAATTTGCAGTCATTCATGATTATCATGTTCCAAAATAATAATTACACTATGCAACATTTTTTTGGTAATCTATTTTTCGTTTTTCTTAATCCATCTTTTGGCGCAGATTTCAGATTTAATTTTAGTTTTTTTTGTATTACGTAGTATTTTGCAAATCGAGCGAGATTATTTTGGTCTGAAAAGTAAATTTTCGGGAAGGGGAATTTTATTGAGAGAAAAATAAATTTTATTTCGGTAAGTGGAGGGTGTTGGGCACACTTGGAGGGGGTACCCATCTAGCTGTTAGGTAAGACACTGGGTGATTGTTTTATGCAATAATGTTGTGAAGAGCTGAAATAGTTTGTTCGTGCAGTTTCGTTGTAATTAGTTCGCGCGTGTTTAAACAACCCAAATGTGTTCTATTTTGTGGTAGCTACCTACTTATTAAGCAAAGATAGGCCATTAATAGATTCATGAAGAATATCCATTACGCATATTTTGGAATAGGGCTTTGCGATTAAGACAAAAGCTGGGCACCACACAAGGTATGCCCCACATGTCTTGAGAATCTGAGACTGTGGAAAAATAGTATGAAAAATCAATGCCTTTTGCAATTAAAATGGTTTGGATGAAGCCACAAAATCATGTACATATTTTATTTTTATATTTGAATGGTTAATGTTAAAGATCATAATGCAAAAAGAAAGGAAGTAATAGAATATCCTATCATTTCTTCCTCCTTATGAGCAGTTACGCAAAGGGATTCTCTTCTTGATCTCATTACACCTACCATTCTTGAAGATACGTCGCAGGTAATTAAGTGCAGCTCAACAAATTAAAGCTGCGATGGAAATCATTACAAGTCGAAAGAAGATTCTGCACAAAAATTATTCAGTCAAAATTATCTTGGTGATTTAACTCGTGATTTGAATCTGACAAGACGCCGCTGATTTGCTCTGGTCAAGACTAAAAGCAAAGAAAATGTACTATAATGAAATATGTCCTCTTGGCATGGTTACAGAGAAGAGGAATTAATAAAATTATTGAAAGAGGAAGACAGTATGATTTTTTGCTGTGATATTAAGGGTGTAATGAATTTCTTTAAGGTCACTTATGATGCAAGTCAGTGGGTGTTAATTATAGACTCGAAAACACATAACTAGTCGTTTCTGTGGCTTCCATACAGCAGAAAACTGATGATGATGGCTAAGCCATCGAAAGCTGCTATTGTAATAAACAACATTGTTGGCAATGACAACTCATATAATTATTTCATTGTAACTGCTAACGAAAACTCACCACAATACCAATATTCAAAGGTGTACTTTACATAGTGAAAATTTGTTTGCTTCAATTCCTGATGCCCATTCTGTTCACCTTATGGAATATGCCCATTCTGTTCACCTTACGGAAAATATCAAATCAGTGCTGAAATTTCTAAACTATGAAAACAACATTTGAATAATGTACGAGTATTTGTAAGAAGTTGAAATGTTACTTGCTCAACAAACTGGCTACACAAAAATTCCGTGTTTCATTTGTGAATGAGACAGCTGAGCCCAAGACAAGTATTGGAAGAAAACAGTTTAGGTCAAAGTTATAATACTCCAACCCGGTTCAAACGTACCGTAATCAATGAGCCAATAAATTGTTCAATCAAGAAAAATACTTCTACCTCCACTTCACATCAAACTTGGTATGATGCTGTTAACTACAGCACTTTCAAAAGATGAATACTGCTTCCAGTACTTGGTAACTAGATTTCCCAGAAACATAAATAAGAGATCTTGTGATCATTAGATAATTAATGAAAGACAATTGTTTAAAAGTACAATAAAATCTAGTCAGGAAAACAAGTTGGGTTTTGTTTAAACAAGTTGTGATTAAGTTTTGGGCAGCAACGAAGTTTCAAACTAAAAAAAAAATTGTTAAAACACTGTTGCAGAATTTAATGCAATTAAGTTGCGACATGAGAGTAAAACTTAATTTTCTACATTCTCATATTAATTCATTTCAAGTTCTTCAGGACTTATGTGTAACTTCTCTTTCTTGATAGTTCTCCTTCGCTAGTAGCACCTCCTTTTGGCATTAAATAGGAATTAGCCATCATGAATGCATTCCCCCTTCCCTGATATCTCTTTCCCATGTCTTTTTTGTTCAGATGGAAATTATGGTCTCGTTCTTCACCGACATTTTCAAGGTTTGCAGGTAAAAATTAAATGAAAACAAGAAATTAAATTATTTATACCTTTCGTTTGAATTCGTAATATTTAAACTGTTTTCATAATAATTAGCATTTTTAAGTAAATAAACACCGTTGTCCATTCTAATGCAATACATTTTAATTCTACGCAAGGTTACCAAACGCCAATTTTTACAAAAAGTACTTTTTTCTTTTTAACAACAATGTGATTTCAGTTAAAATTTCAAACGCTAATTGTGCAAACGCCAACGTGCTACAGAAAAACTAAAATGAGATTTGAAATCAGAATGAAAAATTGTTTTAGTATCACCTTCCTGGCATGACACATCGTTCCAAAATAAAATAAATTGCAGCGTAGTGTTATTTATGGACGATAATAACGAATTTGTATAGATGAGAATGTACCGTGTCAGCGGGCCACAATTGTTCGCGAACGGTTTGAAGAACGTTTTGGACAATTCTAGCGAATGATTTGGCCACCGAGATCGCCCAACATGGATCCCATCCAACCCTTATGGGATGTAATCGAAAGGCCAGTTGATGCACAAAATCCTGCACCGGCAATACTTTCCAATTATGGTCGGCTATGGAAGCAACCTGGCTGGGCAGGGGCCTTTCAGTGCTTGAGTCCATGCCATCCGCGTCTTGTTGCTGCACTTTGCAGGGGAAAATGGGGTCTGACACGACACTTGGAGGTACCCCATGACTTTCGTACCGTCAATGTTCGCACGGTCCCGCATTTCACATTATATTTTCTAATACAGTGCATACGATCAAATTCCTTTTGAAGGAAGCTCACTCGGTCCAGCTGTTATAACAAACGGGATTCGGTGTACTTCGATAACCCTGCAGTTTTTTCATGGACGATAATTTGATATTTTTACCTAGATTCACCAAGTTCACCTAGTTGTGTTGTGCTGCTTCAATTTTCGAAGAATATTCGGTATGCTCGAAAATTGAAAAAAAATATGTATAATACGCATATGTATAATATTGATGACACGGAAAAACACGTTACTGTTTGAAATCAGTTTTGCGGGTTCGTGTAGTAGTATAATATTGCGTAGCCGTTACAAATAATGCTCGAAAATATATGTTGTTGTAGCGCGACAAGTTTTAAATCTCAGTAACTGAAGAATAATAGTACTAAGAAGGAAGGTTTCAGTATGCCGCAAATTCCCTGTAGTTATATTTTCCTTTGCTGCAACAGCAGGAAAGCAATCTGACTCGCATTCGTAATTACAAATGGCTAGAAATATTCTAATATCTATAAAAATCTGTATTGTACGAGATTGATGATCATTATGAATTTGCTCGTTGTGCTAAGGAGATTAAAATTATGCGTGCTATTTCTTACATTTCAGTGACATATCAGGCATTACGTTGATAGGAGTGCCCTCCGAAGTGTACATATACGGAACCCAATACTGGGTCATTTGCTTATCATCTGTCATAGTATGCATTCTCACAATTACAATTTACATTCCCGTCTTTCACAAGTTGCAACTCGTGTCAACATTTGAGGTAAGTGAATTCGAACGTAGCAAAAATAATGTGTACTGTGTGTCTTGAATGATGCTCTTATACTATATTATTATTATTATTATTATTATTATTATTATTATTATTATTATTATTATTATTATATTTGTATAATAGTATTTATATTTCTTTTGTATTGCTTCTCATTGACATTAATCATGCTTATTTCATTCAGTATCTTCAGTTACGATTCAGCAGACATGTCCGAGTCGCAGCATCAATGTTCTACACACTTTCCCAAGTAATTTAAAAATATTACATTTTTTAAGATGAAATAGTTACTGCAAATGTATGAATTCATATAATTGTTGTGTTTTTTCAGATGTTATACGTACCGATTGTGGTTTATCTACCTGCTCTTGCATTCAGTCAAGGTATAGTACAAATGCAGTCAGTAGTAAATACAAATACACGTCATGAAATATGAACCTTCCTTCGAAAAGGAGATGAAAAAACAAGCAAGTATATAGATTAGATACTAAATGATTTTAGAACCTGAATAAAGCGGTTTGAAATTGTGTTGAATTTAAATTACTAATAAGTATTTCTAACTTCCAATGCGCGCAGGATTCAAAATCAAACTGTACAACTGTGAAAATGAAAATAGTTGTATATTTCACCTATTCCCATTCTGCCGACTGAGTTTCCATACCCAATTCGTTGCTGCTTGTGACACGGCGGACGTCGTGTGACAGCAAGGCTCCAAGGAAGAGGCCGCGTGCCATTAAATATTTGCAATTCACGTGCTGCGTTATAAAAAAAAACTTTTAAAAAAATATTCTTGGTATGTAAAGAACTGCTGTATTCTTTACGTACTAATTTTAATATAGCAGTTTTCGTGAAGACCGTTTGAATTTTTAATGCAATGCACTGATATTCAAGAGTATTTTATATGTTGTTCATGAGCAGTGTGCGTACTACTTTCTGAGAAATAATTTTTTGTGCTTTGTTTAGCAGAATTTTGTTAATGCAAGCTTCTAGTTTGACCTCAATATAATCAAAGTGTATTTTATATTGTTTTAGTTTCTGGAGTAAACTTGCATCTTATAACGCCTATCGTCAGTAGCATTTGCATTTTTTACACAATGTTGGTGAGTATTTTTCATTTTTTAATAATCTTAATATACTATTAATACCACAAAAAGTGAAACTATATTCATGTAAAGATATTAAAATATTTTTCTATTTCATGACTTAGGGCGGCTTAAAAGCAGTGGTATGGACCGACTTTGTACAACAAATGATAATGCTCGGTGCATCTTTCCTTGTGATCATCCTAGGCCTGATGCGACTTGGTGGATTTTCTAACATGTGGAATATTAATTCACAAGGAGGAAGGATTGAATTTTTTAAGTAAGTAACTTTTACCGTCTCGAAATAGCTGTGGTAAAAACTGCCATTTTTCGACAGAACAACACATATTGTGTGACCCTCATCGTGAAAAAGGGGATAAACCTCATTCCTCTAAGAAGTAAATTACTTCCTGTAATACAATGAGCGGTCAAGAGGTTTGTGGGGCATTGATACCGAAAAATGTGTGGACGGTAGAACTTGTGTACTTGTGTAATGTGTCTGCAGTCAACGTCGGCACCTAAATCTTTCAGAAGATTTTCTCAAAAATTGATATTTTCTCATCGATCTGTTCAAACTCAATGCCCTGCGAATTTGAAACGGATATTTCGATTTAGAGGCGATACTTTACATGGAAGTATTCTACTTCGAAGGTTTTTGCCAAAAGCAAGTTTATGCTTAATTGATGAAGAAATGGTAACAGCTAGAAGGTTGAAGTTACGCATAAAGAAAAAAATATAATATTTATATATATTCTTTGAAACATGTGGGTTCAGAATGAAAAATTTTATCCAAATCTATTGCATGAGGAGCCGTAGACCATTTGATGTAGGAAGGCCCCGTACTCTTAAATTAACTCATTTAAAATGTAATGTTACGAAAACAAATTCTCACGCCCAAAATACGAAACAACCTAAGCAGAAGAAACATTTCCCGAGGTTCAACCTTGGATTATATCAAATGTCAAAACCAACTTGGCCATAACTACATATAAAAAAAACTACAACTGACAAATGGCTCAGCAAGTTCTCGAATTTTATTGACACGAACTACTCTGTAATTTCCATACATGGCAGTCCCAATGAAATCGGAAAAGAAGCAATAGTATGCATACCTTATAAAACTATTAAGTACCAGCATATGAGATATGCCAGCCATAAAACTGGAAAGTCCTATGCCTTAATGTCAGCACTTAAATCTATCCTTCAGCTTCATTATTCTAATGTTGTTCTGCTTTCAAGCTCATTATCTTTCATTAACTGGAGCAAGAGTGCTAAAACAGAAATAAACACTGTTATTATGAAAAAAATTAGATTATCAGAGCAGGGATCAATTTAGTCCTAGTATGGATTCCTTCTCAAATTGAACCTGTCTTCATAACCGCATGCGTCAGTAAAGGAAAAACTTTAATAGATCTTCAAATGTCCACAAATGTACGTTCGTCCACAAATGTACATGTGCGTAACTTATAATGTACAATTGAAAAAAATTTTAAAATTTGTTGAAGAAATGCAAAAGAAATGGAACCATGTCTGGACATATTACAAACCCAGCAATCTCTATAAATTTATAAATAGTTGTTATTGTTAGGCACCCATAAAATATTCCGACACAGGGAGCAAGTAACCCTTTCAAGGATACGAACAGGACATTGCAAATTAAACCATATCCATTTAATCAAAAAATGATCTTCCCCACTTGTGAAAAAGGGCAATACACCTCTAAATCTTTATCACGTTTTCAAAGTATGTCCTAAATAGAACATTCAAAGACCATTAACTGGATATAATCATCAATACTCTATTCTAAAAATGACCAAGAAACAATGATTACATTTTGTAAAGCCATTAATATAATTCTGGATTGGAACCCAATAGATACATTGAATTGTCTCTGTTGTTTTGAATTATTGTTACTACTGTAGGATGATTGTAAATTTTATTGTTATATAGTATGTATTTGTAACAGTAAGTCGTTAATAACCACGCTGATGATGAGACAAAAAGTAAACTTAAAAACAATTAGAACCACACGGGACTCCTTATGGAGAAACTTTGCGATTATTATAAATCATCCGATGTTAAATGTACAATATATTAACGTTATATTACACAACCGGCGGCTCCTCCAACTTCGTTTGTGAGGAATATTAAATATATTTAGATATTAACTTAAGAAGTAGAAATCAAATGTGAAAATATTTATTTGATTTTTCACTTTCTCGCGCAACTCTGTAAAACAGAATTGTAATTGCGGGCCGGAAAATGGCAAATTTCCGCTTCCCACCCCTAATATAACTGCGAAAAAACGTGAAAATTAAATATTAAATAATCTTGCCTAAGCAGCATAAAGTAGAATTAATTATAAGTTCATAATATTTTACCAAACTAATTGTTAATTTGTGTTGTGTTAAAAAGTTTTTAATCTTTTCCAGCATGGATCCCAGCATTTTCGCTCGAATGACATTTATGTCAGTAACAATAGGTTATACTTTCAAATTCCTTGCAAATTGTGGTATCAGTCAAACAATGATTCAGCGTTTCTTGTCAGTTCCAACCATGAAAGCAGCACGAATGTACGTATTGTCTGTACGCTTTCAGTAATATGATAGATAAGAAAACTGTGTCCTAAAAAGCAACAACTTGTAGCATTACTAGTATATTGCATGTAAAGAACATTTATAATAATATGAGTAAAATTGCAATTGCTATAGTCACAGACGTGCACAGCCCACAACAAGAGGGGAGGAACTTTCTGGACCCCCTTTTTCATTGAACTGTTTTATTTACACATGCCATATTTTACTATTAAATAAATAACATATTTCAAGGAGAATTAATTTATAACTTTCATGATATAATTAATAGAAATGATTTACATTGGTGCCAGTTGGCCTGGACAGCATCCTCCCCACATGTCTTAGAACAACTCTCCAAATTGTAAGGTTAAAAAAGATAAAATCAGGAACTTGACATATTTTCGAAAATAATGTTTTAGAAGGAAACGTTATGGGACACGTTTCAAATGATCAACAGGGCCACCAAACCTGATATTCCCCCTGTGTGCATATCTATGGCTGTAATGTACATTGGAATAAGTTATGCTTTCTGTAAATAAGGCGTTTGCTATCGAAACCAGCTCATTCTATTAGTTACAGAAATTGATATTTTGTCGAATTTTACGAAATTATTATACCCTTAACAATTCCATGAAGGGATGTAGATATTTTAAATTCTACTTATTCCTACTAAAATAGTGGGAAGAAAACTCCTTTTCATTTCAAACCGCATGTAAAAAGAATGAGTTTGTAGCTTTTCTTTTAAAATTTTCGCAAATGGAATGCGTAGTTTTGATAGTAAACGTGACTATCGTGTAACAAAACTACTGATTAGGAATATTTCAATGTTTACTTTTAAACCTTAATTGATAAACATATAAACATCCTTAATTATATTTAATTTTTAATTTATTTTGATAATAATTTCTAAAGCAAATTTAACTTCTTCATTTAAAAAGTCGTCAACTATGTATCAACACTTACTATAAACATAAAATTAATTGTAAAAGCAACAATACCTGGGGGATTATTTGTTGTAGAAAAATATTTACAATTTTTATTAACTCTCCGTTGGTCGACCCCTTCCAGACAGAGTCCGTTAGACGCTAATAGGCACTGCGCTCATCCCCGGACAAAATGTAAATTGCCACGATTTTTGAAAAAAGTTTCTAATGTAAACTTATTATGATCCTCGCTGATTTCATTACAATCTTCATGTTGAAGATATTGTATTTGGTGAAAACAATCCAACATTTTCAGTTTTAATTCTTTCGTTTTCCAGTTTGAGAAAAAAACAACTAACTTATGGAATGTCATTGAAGTTCATGAACTGTAAATAAGAAGATTTAAGAGAAAAAAATGTGATTTTGATAAAGTATGTTAGAATGATTGAGAAGTTTTAGTTTTTAATGTTTCCCTGTTTTCAACTTTCACACCCACCAGTGTCTAGGGAAGTCCTCATACCCACTGAAACTTAGCTCCAAGTACGACTATTTCACTATTTACCCAGGCTTCATAACCTGCAAACCAATGTGTCTCGTTAGAGCGTGATGGTCAAAGAGTTCTTAAGAATCCTATTTGTACTAAGTTTTAAGAAAAACATTATAGCAATTTTTGAATAAGTTTAAGTACATTGCAGAATAAAACTCAAATTCTCATGTCTTCAAAAAGCTGAAATACAGTAGAATTTCAGTTTAGAGGAAAATTCTACTTTAATCTTGATTAACTATACAGTGTTGTTTAGTGCTTCGCGGTTCTGAAACGACAAGGTTGAGACATAAATGTATTGATTGCAGACATGCAAGACGAATACGTATACATGTTTGAAACATTTTCTTTCAATGAAGGACTTTTAGCGTCTCAAGATAAAAAATATTATCTTTTGTCTTAGAATAGAAAAGGAATACTTTTCTCAAAATAGTAATAAAAAAATGTTTTGTTAAACCTAGCGTACATGAGTGTTCTGGAAAATCTCCTGGCAACTCGTATCCTACAAATGTAGTATTCACTTCTCGTTTTACTTGTAATCATTATTATTATTATTATTATTATTATTATTATTATTATTATTATTATTATTATTATTATTATAAGTATTACTGTTATCATTATTTTTATTGGTATGTAATATGATAAAATGACAGAAAATGTATATTTTACAATTCTATAAAATATATGTTGTGAAATAATAATTACATCCATGTCATTTTTCAGTACTATGATAATTTTCGCCTTTGGAATGCTTTTGTGCAAATCCCTCAGCTGTTTCACAGGCCTTTTAATATATGCACAATACCATGACTGCGATCCCCTCTCTACAAAGGTAAGTATTTTTACTAATATTAATATTTGAAGTTTACTGTGTAAGTACGGGTGAGATTCACGGTTTCCTGTTCAATTTTTAGATTGTCGCTCACCAAGATCAACTTCTTCCTTACTACGTGATGGACATCACCCAACAAATCCCTGGCCTTCCTGGCTTGTTCGTGGCGGGCGTATTCAGCGCTGCTCTGAGGTAGTTGAATTTCTGGAATATATCAATTGCAGCAAATACAGTTCTCTCGATCATTTGTACCCTCTTGTTAATCGCATTGTCCTCATAAATCTTCCACTGAATTGCATACTTCCAAATTCTTCTCACCCTGCAAGTCTTCCTCACAGACGGACAGTCGTTTTGCCGAAAAGCAATTTTTCTGTTTCAAGGAACCACATATCCGTAAATTTGCAAAACGTTTGCAACTTTGCGAGTATGAATAGAAGTCAGTATATGGTCAAATCTAAGGGGCCCAGACCTGAACAATGAAGAAAACGTTATTCTAGAAACACTTTTCGGATTCCAATATCATTTTCATATATAAATAATTACCTTATTATAATATCTACTTTGGAATTATTACTTTATTTCGTTTAAAAATAGGTAAAATAATACTACAGAAAATGGATTGTAGGATGTACTAATACTTTTACCCCGAATAATCCAATTGTTAATCTGCACAGTGTTTGCTACTCTATTTCTTTCATTTCCAATTGTGTCATGTTTCAAACAGTAATGTTAAAAATACTACAACCTTTTTTCAGCCCTGTAATGTTAATATTCTTGTGCCAAAAACTGTATTAATATATTTTTGTCCGTGCAGTACAATGTCGACGTGCCTGAACTCCATCGCAGGAACAATATTCGAAGACTTCGTTGCTCCTTGTCTTTCTCAGAAAAGAAGGGAAACACAGGCCAGTTTATTCATGAAAATAATAGTAGTCTTCATGGGAATATTCTGTGTTGTCATGGTACTACTTGTGGAAAAATTAGGAGGAGCAGTTCAGGTAAACAAAAAGAATCTATTACTGTAATATTTATTATATTTATACATATGTTGTTAATATGTTCCTTATAAAAAAATATTATTTTACCGTTTTGGCATCAGAATAATCGATTCTCATAGAGAGAATTGCATTTTTTATATTTTGCAAAACTTTTGTCACAGCTGAGTATAAGTAACTTAATGTGTATTTCAAATTATTGAAGATTGAGGTACACTCGAAAGGACAATAGCGTCATTTGTGATCAGCGACTGCACTGTAATTCTACAGTCAGCTGGCGGGTTAGAGTTCTGATTGTCTATAATTGGGTATGATCGAATCCGAAAGAAGTAGATTTTTTTCTTCTGCTATAAAAGAATCTACACCTCTTTGTCATACTACAATCACAGCCTTCTAGACATTATAGAAGAGAAGCACCAAGAAACTGCTGTGCGAAATTCAAACATTTCTCAGCAAAATTACGCAAGAAAAATTTGTTCATCTAATTGAAAAGAATGCTATTGTTTTATTATTCACCTAAAATGACTCACCTGTATATTTACTGTGTATATACTGTATGTTGTGATAAGTCATCAGTACGTCGCCAGGAGGTGTCGTTTGCGAGAACACAACAATGGAGTAGTCGGTTTTATCAATGTGAAGGTTGTTAAAAATGAAGAGAATTACTTAGAGTAAAAGGTCGACGGATTGAAAATATTATATTATTGAAATATAAATAATATATTTAATACATTATAATTATATCATGTATGTAATGACACTATAAAACAAGCGATAAAAACATCAGAAGATAATTTTACATAGACAAAAATATTAGTTTTCAATGAAAAACAAACTGCTCCATAAAAGCTATTTAAACGCCTACTCCATGTATTCGATATCAGCTAAATAGCTGTTTCAGACTTTTCGATTTACGCTTGAGTATTAAACTCTAGAGTTAATCGTGGTTGCTACAAAGGTCGAGTAGGTAGATCGACTATAGATCGACTAGATACGGGTATAGAAACGGGACAAAGACCGCGTATCTTCCTTTGGCACTCACGTGCTTCAATCGGGATTAGGGCATCAGTTTTTTAAACTAATACTTTTTTTACAAGATTCCCTTGGTTAGTTCTAAATAAGGAATCAATTCTTCATTTTTGAGGATAAAAAATATCAGTAATGTATTATTTAATGATAATAACAAAATGTGAAGTAATTCATTAAACGATCATTTTATATTCCTAGATGTCCATTAGCCTGGGAGGCATAACGCTAGGCGCACTGCTGGGGCTCTTCAGTCTTGGAATGCTATGTCCATGGGCAAACACAAAGGTACGAATATGACACAAATAATCATCTAATAAATATAACTTTTATTGAAAATTGGTCCTTCAACTTAATAGTTTAACAGACAATTTCATGTTAAAACTATAATCATGAACGATCAAAACATTCATAAATTTAATTTAAAAAGTTAATAAATCTTTGGAAATGTTCGCGGAAAGTAATTTTGAAACGAAGTTGGAAGATCGAAAAGTACGTAAAACTGGAAGAAGCTTGAAAGTTTTCTCATATCATAGAACATTTTGGAGGAAACAAATGTATTTCAATAGGTTATAAAATAAACTTTTTTTGCAATAAAGGAAGTTGCAATAAAGTTATAGTGAGGAGACAATATTCTTGCAAATCCTCAACTTCCACAAAGTGTGAATGAAAAGCACATTCCACTCAGTTTCATAACTACGATTTCCAAGATGACGTCTGTGCAATCGATGTACCAACGAGATTCAATTCCACTTCTTCTTATTTGCTCGAAGAAACGGGCCGAGTCGGCGGTCTAAAAGCCAAAATAAGTCTCGCATATACATATATATATATACATATATATACATATATATATGTATATATATGTATATA